AAGCATGTAGATTTCTGGAGCCATTCGTGGTGGCTGAGGTTGATGTCCAACACCACGTACAAGGTGAGAATCTGCGAGAACTGCAGCAACCCTCAGGCCGTGGACTCGTGTTCGAAACTTCCAGCTTTTCAGCGAGCCACCACCGCCGCAGCTACAGCAGCCATAAACAGTGGCAGCTACAATTCTAGCTGAGCTATGACCAATGACCTACTAGAGCGAGCACTGCTGCCGTTTTCTTTTTTCCACGCTTCCTGGAATCCGGCGTGAGTCCAACCTGTCGCCGAGGCCGAGGTCTGTGCAGAAGCCATGAACACCACCCTGACGTTGAACCCGGATGCCGTCCGGACAGACTTGCAGACATCAAGTGACGAAGCATAGTTTCTGAAGAAGCAGAGAGCCCATTGGAAAGTCTCAGCAAATGCAGGAGTGTGCAAGTGGTGTTCCGCTCAGAGACGCACGCTCATGTGAACTTCATATCTGGGGATCAGTCAGCGGCTCAGCTGCTAGGATCGGTACGAACTTGTAGCTGGCCATGCTGAGTTGCTTCTGCCAGCGTTGCTTCTGGTCACCCTCATCGCATCCTGAAAGTCCCTTGCGGTGTACTCTATATATGTATATACACATATCTGTATAGTATAAACATAGGTTGGTATACATCTATATCTACATATACATATGTATATATATATATATATGTACATATTTAAATAAATAAATAAATAAATAAATAAAAAATGTATATATATATATATGCACATACACATAGTGTGTGTATATATGTATACATGCTACATACGCATAGGTGTACAGATTTAGGAGCGACGCAGCTGCACAGCCTCTGAGGCCGGGCGACTGCAACGCAGAAGGTGCCCTCCGGAATCTGTTATCTCGCCCTTTTGAAGTCCATTTTTGGTGTTTTTGGGGGTTTTATTTTTATTTTTAGGGCTTTTCGGGGGTTTTTAGGCTTTTAGTTGTATGATCGTTTGGTTTTTCTGGTTTTTGTTTACGCTTGTAGGGTTTTAGGGTTCAGCACCCGGGTGCTGCCGGCATGGTGTAGTCATGCGTCGTATGTTTGAGACTCGGCAAGCTTCCATGAAGCCTGGTGGTCAGATTGGCTCTTCGAGTACTACAACGAGTCATGGTCGGGTTCCTGGCCTTCGTGTTCAATGCAAAGCCCTGGGGCTCGGGAGGGACTTGCTTCGGTGCCTGGGAGCAAGGACCATCAAGGACACTAGTTCAGGTGAAGAGGTGGAACTAGATCGCTCCCCATCGCCATGTCCCGTGGTCTTGGCGCTGCGGGTTTAGTTATGCAGTCGGCCTCTGCCCAGTTGATGGAGCTGTACCTAGTGGCGAGCTTGGGCTTAGGCAGTTCGCGGCCTTCTGCACCCGGATGCCTGGTGCACGAACTCCCCAGCAGTGGGACACCTAGCACTTGCAGTTTGGGGGACACCGGCTTTCTCATGGTTTCTGCTGGCGCCAAGGTGCCATCTCGACTTGAGCATGCTGGATGAGGAGAGGGAATACTGGATGAGGGCCTGCGCCTTACGTTCCGAAATCCCCAGCAAGTCAGCATCCTTCCAGGCGATCCTGCCAAAATGTCCTGCTCTCCCTCCAAACCTCTGCCCGATCGGCGAGGTCCAGGAGCTCTGTGTTGGCGGCCTCCAGGCGCCCCACGTGAACTTCACGCTGCCTGCTTGGGAGGCCAGCAGGGCTTTGAAGAATCAGCTTGGGCTTCATGACACAAAGACAGTCTCGCGCAGCTCAAGGCATAGCAGCTAAAGCACAAGATTTGGTTTCGGTGTTGCCATGTCCTGACATTTTCCGGCTAGCGGGTCTGACTTGTCAGAATGTGGTACGGGGCTGCATATGCCCTAGACCCCATAGGCCCCACATCCCACAGAACACAAACCCCAAAACAAAAACCAAACCCCAAACCCCAAACCGTAAACCCTAAACCCTAAACCCCAAACCCCAAACCCTAAACCCCAAACCCCAAACCCTAAACCCCAAAACCCAAACCCTACACCCTAAAACCCTAAAACCCAAAACCCAAAACCCTAAACCCTAAGACCCCAAACCCCAAAATCCTAAACCTGGAGCGAGGTGCTCGTTGATGCCGCACTTGGTGTTGGTCCAAACGTG